AAAAGGAGAACTGCCTGGACTTCTCCTGAGCATGAGAAGTAGTCAAGAGCTGAATACAAAATATCTTGTAGTCCAGGCAAAAGCTTAAATTTTATCCTGTAGGTATCTAAGGGGCAGTAAGGTTTTTCTTTTTCTTTTTTTAATTTACAAAAATTTTTTGACTGTGCTGGGTCTTCACTGTTGGGCTCAGGCTTTCTCTACTTGGGTGAGCAGGGGCTACTCCCTAGTTGTGGTGCACAGGTTCTAGGGTGCTCAGGCTTCCGTAGTTGTGGCACACGGGCTGAGTTGTTCCAAGGTACGCAGAATCTTCCTGGACCAGGGATTGAACCCATGTCCCTTACCCTGGCAGGCTGATTCTTAACCACTGGACCGCCAGGGAAGTCCTAGGGGCTAGTAAGTTTTGAAATAAAAGGATTGCTATGAGTGTCTTTGCCTTGTAGAAAGGTAACTCTAGTGGCAGTATTGGAGGATGGATTGGAGGTTATAAAGTCCTGTTAAATTATGCTGGCTTCCAACTTTAGTGGTAAATAAGGCACGAGGACATAAAGGAACTGAGACTTTTCTGGGGTAGAGAATTCTGAACCTGCAAGGGAAGAGAGGAACTTGCAAATATAGCAATACCAAAGTTTCAGATTTGGAATGCTGAACATAGTAATGTCAAAGTTTCACATTTGGGATGCCAAACATATTACAATCTCTAATTCTGATAATTGATTAAGTAGGCGGTAGAGGTAGTAAGGTCCACAAATGAGGTGCGTGTTTTTGTTGTTGTTAACCTCATTTTTTATTGAGTTGTGAACTGCTGCAAACACTTCTAGAGACAACACATGACCTCAAGAAGGTAATGGCAGTTTGAGGTCTCTTTGGAGGGCTAGTAGAAGGAAGATATGGGAGCAGGTGGAGCCCAGTGACTCGAGCAGTTCTGACTCATGGTTTCTCTTAACCCTAGGTAAAGGGTGGTATGCTAATCAAGACCAGCCTCTGAAGTGAAAAGTAGAAAGTGAGTCATTGATGGGGCCACCTGGATTGAAACTGGGCTGCTTGCCAGAGTGGAATACATGAGCTACAAAATGTCCTATTTTTGTGATGTCAGCCTAAGGCCTAATTATATCTGGTCCATATACAGTAAGTCCCTTTAGGGACAATTGGTCAGGATGCACTTGCTTTTCCTTGAATATATGTAAAGGATGATTACATAATTTGCTTTGACTTTGGGGAGGTAACTTTACCTCTAAAGTTCTTCACTGGTTAAATGAGTGTATTTTTACTTACCTCCCAGACTAGGTGGGATTAATAAAATCTAGAGCTATATAGTGTGGTGTTCACAGTTGGCTTTCAACTCTGAAGCTTATTCCTTTTCTACATTTCTGCTTTATTGACTATGCCAAAGCCTTTGACAGTGTGGATCACAATAAACTGTGGAAAATTTAAAGAGATGGGAATACCAGACCACCTGACCTGGCTCTTGAGAAACCTGTATGCAGGCCAGGAAGCAACAGTTAGAACTGGACATGGAACAAGACTGGTTCCAAATAGGAAAAGGAGTACATCAAGGCTGTATATTGTCACCCTGCTTATTTAACTTACATGCAGAGTACATCATGAGAAACGCTGGGCTAGAAGAAGCACAAGCTAGAATCAAGACTGCTGGGAGAAATATCAATAACCTCAGATAGGCAGATGACACCACCCTTATGGCAGAAAGGGAAGAACTAAAAGGCCTCTTGATGAAAGTGAAAGAGGAGAGTGAAAAAGTTGGCTTAAAGCTCAACATTAAGAAAACTAAGATCATGGCATCTGGTCCCATCACTTCATGACAAATAGATAGGGAAACAGTGGCTGACTTTTGTTTTTCTGGGCTCCAAAATCACTGCAGATGGTGATTGCAGCCATGAAATTAAAAGACGCTTACTCTTTGGAAGGAAAGTTATGACCAACCTAGACAGCATATTAAAAAGCAGAGAGATTACTTTGCCAACAAAAGTCCATCTAGTCAAGGCTATGGTTTTTCCAGTGGTCATGTATGGATGTGAGTTGGACTATAAAGAAAGCTGAGCGCCGAAGAATTGATGCTTTTGAACTGTGGTGTTGGAGAAGACTCTTGAGAGTCCCTTGGACTGCAAGGAGATTCCAACCAGTCCATCCTAAAGATCAGTCCTGGGTGTTCATTGGAAGGACTGACGTTGAAGCTGAAACTCCAGTACTTTGGCCACCTGATGAGAAGAGCTGACTCACTGGAAAAGACCCTGATGCTGGGAAAGACTGAGGGCAGAAGGGGACGACAGAGGATGAGATGGTTGGATGGCATCACCAACTCGATGGATATGGCTTTGGGTGGACTCCGGGAGTTGGTGATGGCCAGGGAGGCCTGGCATGCTGTGGTTCATGGGGTTGCAGAGTTGGACACGACTGAGCGACTGAACTGTACTGAACAATTTATACAGACAGACACAAACATTACTGACCTTCATCTCTGGCTACGTTTAATGTTTTTAACTATAACTTTTCTCCCTCATTTACTTCTCATTTAGGATGTTTAGCAGTATTTTAGGGACTTCCTCTCCCTCCCTTTTCAGCTGTGCCGTGGAGCATGCAGGATCTTAGTTCCTTGAGCAGGATCAAACCTGTGCCCCTACATTGGGAGCATGGATGTCTACAGCATTAGACTGCCAGGGAAGTCTCTGAGGAATCATTTTTAACCTACCTTAAAACTTCTGGAATGAGGCATAATATAAAAAGGAAATACTTCATACCAAAATAATATAATTTGTCCTTTTTAATTCTAAAATACATTAATAATTAATATTGATAGGAAGACTAATATACAATGCAATTATTTATTTTACAAGGAGATTCTGTACATCAGGGAAGCATCTTGAAGTACAATACAACAGATTTCTATTTCTTCTTTACATTATGATTGTGAATTATTACTTACATGGAAGGAGAACACAAAATCCACTTTATATATATATATATATATATTTATATAAACACCTGAAAGGACTTGACTCCCAAAGTATCTTGTTTCAAAAGAACATGAGTGAGATGAAAGATGAATTAGATTCCTTGGTGGCACATAGGAAGCGAACAAGTAGCTCAGGAAATCAAATCCTGTTTCAAGCTTGGCACATTAAGGGAAAGGAAGGGAGCGAATGGGGTGTGAAAAATGTCATCTGAAGCCACAGAGGATGCTGGCAAAAGCCAAGTAGTTTCCAAACCAACAAGATAAAAGGTTAGAAGTTAACACTTAATGTGTGTTCTAACAACTTTGTAGAATCATCTCTTTATCTTCCCTCAGTCATCCTGAACGTCAGTGAGCTTGCAGGGGATGTAAGCCCAGTGTATCTCCATGGCCATAAAGCACTTGACAGTTACTGAAAAATCCAAACACCTCCCTATTCCCCATATGGAGAGAACATACTACCTTTTAAGGTCACTTTTAGCTTTGTTTTGACCTGATATTCTGATTCTTCAGCAAATCTTACATGGACGCAAAAGAAGGAACAGAGAAAAATCTACTGGAAGAGCACATACAGGACAAGGACTGGCAGAAGAAGTCAGAAGAAATCTATAAAATAGCCACAATTTTCTGAACATTCAGGGGAAAAAGCCACATTCATCAGTTTAATAGAAACTTTTTTTCCTCTTCCACTTAGAGTGGATAGGAATTAGAGGGACACAGTAAGGCATATGGTTTTCAACAAAAATTCAAAGAAAGCAACTGAATTGTCTGTTTCAGGAAATCATATTAATATATATTACACATATAAAAGGGTGTGGGGGCTGAGCCAATGCCCAGGCACCAACTAACTGCACGGGCTGCAGCTTGGAAGAGGAGGGCTGAGTGAGGTGGAAGCTGCCAGACACGGTGAGCAGGAGGGTCAGTGTTGGGAGGTAACAGGAAGAGGGCAGCAGGAGAGGGTGGACAGGACTGAGGAACAGACAGGAGCGGTAGGTCATGGTCTCGCCCCTCCCAACTGCTTCTCCAAGGACCTTTTTCTGTCTAGCCCCCACACCCCCAGGACCTTGCTGTGATTCTGGCTGAAACTGTGGGGGCTGACAGCACACGAGTGCTCCCGCAGAGCTGCAACTCTGCTTTAGGGGAGAGAATGCATCTGTTGGTTAGAATGATTTAGAGTTATCATCTGGTACAACAAAAATACAACAGTCTGAACAACTCGAGCCATGAGTCAGTTTTCTGCCAAGTTGGCCTTAATGTAAAGGCCCTTTTTTGGTTTTGTTTTTATATATAGAAAACATATATGCTGTCTCATTTTTCAAACTTGGAATCTAGCTGCAGCTCAAGACTGTTTAACAGATAGGAAAAATGTTAAGCTCCCATCATTTCTTCAAGATTTAAAAAAAAAAAAAATACAAATCAGAATGACCTGTGCCAAAAGAAGAAAATGTCAGATCCGGAGCTTCTCCCGGGCTGGGTTGCCTGAAGAGGACTGTATTGCTGTGTTACAAAAAGTACAGTGCAGTGCTTTCAGCTGACATGCTTCTCCCTGGAGATGGCCCCTTTTCCCAGAAGCTTGGGGGCCTCCAGCAGGTTTCCCCCATCACCAATGAGATGTGATGGCTAGAATTTAGCATCTATACAAGTGGGTCTCAGAACAGGACAGGGCTGGTAAGGCCAATGGTGCAAACTGTGCCTTTAGCACAGGCAGTCATCATGGGTGAGGTTCAACCAATAAAACTTGGAACCTGCAAGTGACCCAGAACATTGAGGCTGTTGAGGGAAGACCCCTCAGGTATGCTGCAATATTACAAGGTTCAAAAGCACTGACAAAATGTTCAGTTTTGCCCAAGGCAGCATGTGAGAATCCATTCCAGTGAAAAGCTACATTCATCGAGTGCTGTTCACCGCAGAACTGTAGCCTAGAGGACTCAATTCTGGCTGTGCTGGGAAGTGCTGAAGTCCCCTCCGTGTCTCTCTGCACACTGAAGCAGCCCTGTGTTGGGGGGTTGTTTAGATTCTCTCTCAAACTTCAGCATCACGGACGGTGGTAGCTAAAACAAATGATCAGAAAGAGCCAAGTTACCAGATGTTGTAGACTGCTTTGCTATGACAGTTGACTTCTAGAACAACAGGGTCCAACAACTGCACAACTCCAATTTTATGTAGATTTTTTGCAGTAGTAAATACCACAGAACTATATGATCGAATAGGATGTATAGGAAATGGAACCATGGATACAGAGGAGCCACATATAGGGAGGGCAGTTATAAATCATATGTGGATTTTCAACTGAACTGCTTAGAGGGTTGTGGGCACCCCAACTTTTGCATTGTTCACAGGTCAACTGTATTATCTTAAAAGTAATGAAATGTTATGTTCTAATAAAAAAAAAAAAACTGCCTCTCCTCCACTCTAACCCTACCCGACATTTCTATAGCATCTGATACTCCTGACCATCTTGTTTTCTTCTTGAAACTTCTTTTGACTTCTGTAACACTATGTTTGCCCTAGATTTCCTTCTTTTTCAATTGCTCTTCCTCAATCTGCTTTCCTGATTCATTTTCTTCTGTCCATCATTTAAATATAAAGCACTGTTCTCCTTAAGAACCGCTATCTTTTCTCACAGACTTGAGTCTTTATGTCTTCTTTTTCTCCCTGGACTCTAGGCTGAAGAGCCAACTGTTTTCTCGGCAACTCCCTTCAACGTGCCATAGGTTCAGCACATACGACTGGCCTCCTGGCTGTCCACTGTCGCCGTCTTCTTTGAGAATGAAAGCTCCTTCAGGACAGGGGCCTTGTCCTCTGCTGCGCCCCAAGCGCCTAGCACTGCCTCTGTCATCTAGTGGGCGCTGAACAAATGTCCTAAACGTCACTGAACTCCTTACAGACTAATCAGTCCTCGAAAATCACGTTAGAAATCGAAGAGTCACTTCAATTGCTTCCTTTAAGTTGTCCCTGGAATGAAGAGATTGCCACATCTGGTTGATTCTATGCGTGCAATGTCTTTCACGTTTATCTTCCCTGGTGTGCACTAGCAGCATGCTCACTCTATCTCAGCTGCTTCCTAACTGGTCTCCTCATTCTTCCAAATCCCCTTCCAAACTTCCACCAGGGTTTGTTCCCAAATACACGAGCTCCAGAGGTTCCAACATCTTCACGTCAGAGTCAAAGCTCTCCGGGACCTGACCATAACCCATCTTGCTAGTCTCACTTTACCGTGCTGCCCCGTCCGTCCTCTGCTCCAGCTCCATGTTCTGTTACAAAGAGCACAGTTCCTGCCTCTCAAAGTCCCACGGAAAGCTGGCAGGTTTGCTTACAATCTTCCTTCTTCTTTGTAATAAAACATTTATGGTGGGGCTAGGACTTCACTGCTGTGTACGGGCTTTCTCTAGTTGTGGCGAGCCGGGGGCTTCTCACTGCGGTGGCTTCTATTATTGCAGAACACAGGCTCTAGAGCTTGGGCTTAGTGGCTGCGGCCCCAGGCTTGGTTGCCCTGGTGGCATAAAGAATCTTCCCAGACCGGGGATCAAACCTGTATTCCCTACATTGGCAGGTGGATCCTTAACAACTGGACCACCAGGGAAGTCCCCTTCCTTCCTTCTTGTGCAAATGAATTCTTTTACATAATGTAAGATGTAGCCTAAACGCCACCTTCTTTGTGACTTTCTTGTACTGTTGCTCACTATGGTACTCTACTACTACTACTAATAAAAATAGCTAATACTGACACAGGCAGGAAATGGTCGAGTTGGGACATGAAACCCAACAGATTCAGCCCTCAGAATGACTGAGGCATTTATCATATTGACTGTACACAGTGGTATACAGATCACTTCCCAGCTTAGACTATAATCTCCTTACTGACAAGTATGGCTTGTTATTTGAGGTCATATTACAGTGCCCAGAATGACATAACTGTTGTTCAAAGAAACTGCCTTCTCTAATTCTGTCATAGTTCATAGTTCAGTACAAAAAAATTCTGTAGTTAAAATAACCATTTGTTCTGTATTTTGATTGAAAAATGTTTAATATTTTGTCTTCCAACTTTGCTTGTTCCTTCTTTTTATAGCAAACTGTAATTGTCATCATACCTCCTTTCATTGAGTCTCTTCTAATCATTGTTTTGAGAGTCACCTAGATACTTCTACTGATTCCATTTGTGGCTACCTGAGTCTTTATGTATGGGCTGGGGCCTTAATAACAACAGTAATTCCAAATCAAAATGCTTCTTGGCTGCTTCGTGGCTTTTTTCATGTTTATACAGTAAACTGGTAAGATCGACTGTGCTAAAACCAGAGCGGGCAGCTTCCTTTCCAGCTTAGCAACCATCCCGCATCTGTAACCTGGGACAGTCAGGTGCAGAAAAGAGAGCACCCAACTGCTTTTAGTCATTCATTCCTTTTCCCACATCCTGGTCGTGCAAGTCAAGCATATTACTTAACCCTTTTGAGTCTATTTCCTCATTAGTAAAATGGGGATATGAATACACCTGGTATGTTTACTGCAAGTAATAAGATATAAAATACATAAAATGCCATACTCCGTAAGGCATGAACTATGCCTCTTAGTTCTCATCTCTTTCTCTTAATATAGTCTTTGTGCAATTAACACCAAGTGTTGTTCTTTTAACTTATGTCTTTAGAATCCTTTCAAGCTGAACAACTCTGCCTCATTTGCTTTTTGGTGGAGTTCTACTTAGCTTCCAGTATTTAGGTCTTACCGTGTAAAATGTTTACTCTCCTCATGAACTTCCATCTCTGAGCTTTTAAACTCATTTAATTCTTTCCTTATGGCAGCCTGTAGAGTAGAAACAAAAACATCTCAGCATCTTCTGTCTGCTACAACAGCAGGACTGTGCTTTGTCATCTGGTCTCTACTGTGCTTAACTCTGACCAGGCAACCCAGAGGGAGGGAGGAAGTCAGGTGAACACAGTTCTGTGTGCGGCTCTGAGCCTGATGCACATCGCCTTCCTCACAACCTTTGTCTCATAATAAACCTGAGATCTCCAGTTAAATCAAAACCCTTGAAGAGCTCAAAAGAGAGATTGTAGCTTTTACAGTTTCCACAGCATGTAAAAATGCTTTCCCTGTTACAAAAGTGAAATATGGGTAATTACTAAAATATACCATTCAAACTCCCTCCAATGAAACATAACTCCTGTTAAAAAAATATGCTTTATTTCCTTGCAGCTTTTTGTACCCTGCAATACAGGAGGGATTTTCTTTTCTGTAAGTTTTGGTGAAGAAGTCCTTAGTATAAGTTTTAGTTTGTACCTCTTGGTATTTTGTATCTTAATTAGACAGTTAACATTATACAAGAAGTAGAAATTTTATGGTTCCCCCTTCTAGTTGATGTCTTGTATCCTTCAAATAAAGAGAGACAGACAAATGACAGATACCTTGTCAGCAGGGGTCAGTTTGGTCCAAGGTTTGTCAGCTCGCCGGTCATAATCGTGAGCATCTGTTACTTCCACGTATTCATTAAACCTCAGAATCTTCCTGGCAAGTAGTTCAGCCACAGTTGGCCTTTGACTGAGCTGAAAGAAATGGAGGCTGTCAGTTCACTATGCCAGGAGTTAGGCATCAGTCATGCATTCAAACTGCCTCTAATCCAGAGCTTCAACCTTTTACTGCACAACGGAATCACCTTGGGACCTTTAAACATGACTGATCCCTGGGTCCATCCTCAGAGATTCTGGGTATCAGGGTATCAGAATTTGTTTGTTTTTTTAAACTTCATGATGCACAGTCAAGATTGAGAACCAAGAATTGCTATTAAACCAGTATAACCAGTGCTTCTCAAACTTTAACAGGCACACAAACCATTTGGGGATGTGGTTAAAGTGGAGATTCTGACTAAGCAGATTTGGGGTGGGGCCTGAGATTCTGTAGCTCTTAAAATCTCAGGTGATGCCAATGCTGCTGATCTGTGGATCACATGTTGGGTAGCAAAAGGGTCCAGGCTACAAATTCATATCTAATACACTAGAAGGTGAATACACTGATTATGAAAGCAATATCTATTAATGAGTGATATTAAGGGTGAATTTCCTTTCAACATGAGTAATGCCCAAGATACCAGATTCTGTAACAAATTAAGATTTAAGGTTGAACAATCAGTTAACCTGTTCAATCTGAAGCCTTTAAGTCCTGTGATAACCTTTTAGCCACCCCCAATCTATCAAGGATAATTCCTCTGGTCCTGGGGAAGGGGAGAAGTAGGAAAAATCAGGAGGAGAATGTCATGTTTTCTCACTTTCCTGGGGATTCCTGTACATTTTAAAAAATATCTACAGAACTCAGACCAATTCTAAGAATCTACAGGAGGTAATTACCAACTAATAATAATAATGAGGGAGGCAAAGGAACAATGGCTTACTCCCAGAGTTTAAGGGCTAAAACAAGCCTGCGACAGAAATGATTCTACCCTAACCGATTTGGGACCAATGAGAAAATCTTACTTGGTTTTTCACACTTTTCAGGTGTAACTGAGGATCAATTCAGTTGTTTCTCTCATTAGAATATGACCGGTTTGCCTTGCAAAATCAAACACTACACACTCTTCCTGTTACTGTTTCCATACTTCTGCAGGTTTTAGTTGATACCAAAATTCCAGGTCTACTAAAGAAAAGGTCAAAACTTGTGCAAATATTTACTGAACACCTTCCTGTGCCAGGCTTTCTTTAAATAGTTAAAATGGAAAAAAAAAAAAAGTTCTTATAATGCTGTATTGTTTTCTATGTTTTCATCATGTGTTCTATTTTCACAGAAATCTATGGCAATTCAAGTCAAATTCATTTCTTTCCAGTCAAACAGGTCATTCACATACCAGACACAGACTGAGACTGAATACGTGTGGAGCATACCTTTCTGGTGAGCCGACGTTTAATCTCTCGTTTTTCTGCCTGACGATCAGCTTCATTTTTAGCTACATTTGATAGTCAGAAACAAAGAATATTACTTCAGAATGGCAATCGGCATATCTAACTTTTCAGTGATTATACACAGATAATTCTTACAGGCTCCAAGTCAGAATAAATACTAACTCTGGGACTCAAGACAATTTTCTTGTCAACTGGTATAGTCAAACACTGGGTTGGCCAAATGCCCAAGGTAGGTGCAGGATACTATGAGACTATGAAAATACAACTTTCTGGAGCATTCCAGTACACAGAACATTATCATAATGATTTTCTGTAAAGGACGCTTGGGGAACTATGTTCCTTCAGGGGGATAAATTATGAATACTCCTTCTTCCTTGGCTGGAATGCTCTCTGCTCGCCCCTTGTTGAAAAATGCTTCTCTTTTCTGTTATGTATATTAAAGTCAGAAATACACAAAGAAAATCTACACAACTTCATTTCCATATGTGGACTCACGTTGTAGTATGTTCCGTTGTTCTAGTTCTTCTGGTGTTGGTCTCTGACTCAGTCGTCTACAAAGGAGATAAATAAGAGCTTTGTCTATGTTAAATCACCCAATCCTGTTTATACAGATCTGTTTTTGGTCTTAGTTTATGTTAGCCCCTACACTAGAAAGAAATAAAAAAATTTTCAAAGTTTTGATATTTCATTTGCTTAACTGATTGTTTATGAAACATTTTTCACACTGAAAGTGTTAATACATATATTACAATGTAAAAAGGGACTGTGCCAGCAAACAGGAGACTAGCTTTGATGCCAACAAGTTCTGTCACCACAAAAAAGCTTAGTTAGACTCTGTAAAATGAACATTTGGACTGCTTTTGTGACTCCCAAACAGATCTGCTCCTTCAGCATATGGGTTAACACAGATCCTCAAAGATACTAATAAAGATTCTGATTTTGAGGACTGAGATTTTATATGGGTATGTGTGTACATATACATATATAAATATTTGTAATGCTTCCCATATGACTCTGATTCCCTTCTTTTTATTATTTATTTATGTAAACTTTTACTTTTTGGCCATGCCTTGTAGCACATGGGATTTTAGTTTCCCTAACCAGGGCTCAAACCTGTATTGCATTGGAAGCATGGAGTCTTAACCACTGGATCACCAGGGAAGCCCCTCTCTTTTTTTATTTTGAAGCACTACTTTTTATTATTTATTTATTTTTGCCTGTGCTGGGTCTTCATTGCTGCGGACAGGCTTTCTCCAGCTGCGGTGGGCAGGGGCTTCTCACTGCTGTGGTTTTTCTTGTTGTGGAGTATGGGCTCTGATGCAAAGGCTCAGTAGATGTGGCCCATGGGCTTAGTTGCCCTGAGGCATGTGAGACCTCAATTCTCTGACTGGGGTCTGAACCTGTGTACTCCAGGGAAGTCTTTCTTTTGATTTTTAAACCAGTGGTTTAGAAACCACTGGAATTTAAAGTTGTCTCTTTTGGAGTTATATTCTGTAAAACCTATGATTTCAATTTTGGTCCTCTAGGAAATATTGATGAAGTTTCTTATCTCATTCCCAGATCTGAGATGTTATTCACCAATGAAAACCTGTCACTTCTAGAATCAGAAAGTTCTCCAATTCTTACTCTTAATGTATAATCCTCAACAGTATCTAATTATATGCTAGTAGCTCTTTAGTTAGGGCTTCCCTGGTGGCTCAGAGGTTAAAGCGTCTGCCTGCAATGTGGGAGACCGGGGTTCGATCCCTGGATTGGGAAGATCCCCTGGAGAAGGAAATGGCAACCCACTCCAGTATTCTTGCCTGGAGAATCCCATGGACAGAGGAGCCTGGTGGGCTACAGTCCACGGGATCACAAAGAGTTGGACACAACTGAGCGACTTTAACTAACTAACTAACTCTTTAGTTGCATGGAAAATTCCCAGGCCCATTTTATATACAATTTACAATTATATGTATTTCAAAGTTTTTCTTGTCTCTCTGAACAAGACCATCTTTTTTCAACATTCATTAAAAAACATAACACCACAGCTTTACTAAGGTATAAATGATATACAATAAATTGCATGATTTGATATTCTGACATATGCATGTACCTGTAAAATCATCACTACAATCATGGGAAGGAACACATCCATCATCCTTGGAATGATTTCCAGGGCTGCTGTAATAAGTTACCACAAACTGGAAGGCTTATAACAAATATTTATTCTCTCACAGTTCTGGAGACCAGAGTCCAGAATCCAGGTGTTGGTAAGGCTGGTTCCTTCTGAAGGTTCTGAGGGAAAATTTGTTCCCTGCCTCTCTCCTGGCTTCTGGTGGTTGCCAGCAGTCCTTGGTGTTCTTTGGCTTTTAGATGCGTCACCCTAGTTTCTGCCTTAGTCACCTGGCATCCGCCCTATGTGTGTCTGAGTCTCTGCGTCCCAGTTTCCCTCCCCTTATGAGGACACCAGTCATTGGACTGGAGCCTACCCTGACTAATCGAGTACGTTGTTGTTATTTTTCACTTGCTAAGTCAGGTCCAACTGTTTGCAACCCCGTGGACTGCAGCATGCCAGGCTCTGCTGTATTTCACTTTCTTCCCGGACTTTGCTCAAATTCATGTCCACTGAGTTGGTGACGCTATCTATCCATTTCATCCTCTGTCGCCCCCTTCTCTGGCCTTCATCTTTGCCAGCATCAGGGTCTTTTCCAGTGAGTTGGCTCTTTGCATCAGATGGCCAACGTACTGAAGCTTCAGCTTCAGCATCAGTCCTTCCAATGAATATTCAGGGTTGATTTCCTTTAGGATTGACCTGGTTTGATCTTGCAGCCCAAGAGACTCTCAAGAGACTTCTCCAGCACCACAATTCAAAAGCATCCATTCTTCAGTGCTCAGCCTTCTTTATGGTTGCACTCTTATACAGGTACATGATTACTGGAAAAACCATAGCTTTGACTATATGGACCACTGTCGGCAAAGTGATGTCTCTGCTTTTTAATGTGCTGTCTAGGTTTGTCAGAGCTTTCCTTCCAAAGAGCAAGAATCTTTTAATTTTATGGCTGCAGTCACCATCCACAGTGATTTTGGAGCCCAAGAAAATCCAGTATGACTTCATCTTAAATTGATTATATCTACAGAGACCCCCTATCCAAATAAGGTCACATTCATAGGCACCATCTTTCCAGGCGGTACAGTGGTAAAGAATTCACCTGCAATGCAGGAGTTGGGGGAGACATGGGTTTGATCTCTGGGTTGGGAAGATCCTTTAGAGGAGGAGATGGCAACCCACTCCAGTACTCTTGCTGGGAAAATCCCATGGACAGGGGAGCCTGGTGGTCCATGGGGCTGCAAAGAGTCGGACACAACAGAGCACGTATCATAGGTACCAGAGATTAGGATTCATTTTGGGAGGTACAACTCTATCTACTATGACCTTGACAAAGTCTCATTTCCTTTGTAATCACTACCTCCTTGCCTCCAGGCAAACACTCATCTGCTCTATTTACTCTCAACCCTCCTGCCCCCAGGCAAACAATGACTTGTTTTATGTACAGTTTCCATTTTCTAAAATTTTATATAAAACCATACAGCATACACTCTTTTTGTCTAGTTTTTTTTTCACTCAGGATAATTACTGAGATCCATATAAGCAGAGGCATTATTAGTAGTTCATTCCTATTTACTGCTCTATAGTATTCCATCCATTCCTTTCCATTTCACATTAGGCTCAAAATCCTTCAAGCTAGGCTTCAGCAGTATGTGAACCGGGATTTAGAAAAGGCAGAAGAACCAGAGATCAAACTGCCAGCATTTGCTGGATCATAGAAATAGCAAGGGAGTTCCAGAAAAACATACACTTCTTCACGGGGGCTGCCCTGGTGGCTCAGACGGTAACGACTTTGCCTCAAATGCTAGGAGACCCGGGTTCAGTCCCTGGGTTGGGAAGATCCCCGGGGAAAGAAAATGGCAACCCACTCTAGTATTCCTTCCTGGAGAATCCCATGGACAGAGGAGCCTGGCGGGCTGCAGTCCATGGGGTCGCAAAGAGTCAGACACGACTGAGTGACACTCACTTTTCTACTTCATTGACTAGGCTAAAGCCTTTGACTGTGTGGATCACAACAAACTGGAAAATTCTTAGAGATGGGAATACCAGACTACCTTACCTATCTCTTGAGAAACCAGTATGAGAGTTAAAAAGCAACAGAACCAGACATAGAACAACTGACTGGTTCAAGATTGGGAAAGTACGTTAAGGCTGTATATTATTATCACCCTGCTTATATAACTTACATGCAGAATACATCATGTGAAATGCCGGACTTGATGAATCATAAGCTGGAATCAATACTGCTGGGAGAAATACCAACAACTTCAGATATGCAGATGATATAATTCTAATGGCAGAAGGTGAAGAGGCACTAAACAGTCTCTTGATAAGGGTGAAAGAGGAGAGTGAAAAAGTTGGTTTAAAACTCAACATTCAAAAAACTAAAATCAAGGCATCCAGTCCCATCACTTCACAGCAAATAGAAGGGGAAAAAGTGGAAGCAGTGACAGATTTTATTTTCTTAGGCTCCAAAATCACTGTGGATGGTGACTGCAGCCATGAAATTAAAAGATGCTTGCTCCTTGGAAGGAAATCTATGAGAAACCTAGAGACTGTATTAAAAGGCAGAGACATTACGTTGCTGACAAAGATCTGTCTAGTCAAAGCTATGGTTTCTCCAGTAGTCATGTATGGGTGTGAGAGCTGGACCATAAAGAAGGCTGAGCACTGAAGAACTGATGCTTTTGAATTGTGGTGTTGTAGAAGACATTTTTTTTTTTTTAAGTATTTTTATTTATTTGGCTACACTTGGTCTTAATTATGGCATGTGGGATCTAGTTCCCTGACCAGGGATCAAACCCAGGCCCCCTGCTCTGGGAGCATAAAGTTTCAGTGACTGGACCACCAGGGAGGTCCCTGGAGCAGACTCTTGAGAGTCCCTTGGGCTGCAAGGAGATCAGTCTAGTCCATCCTAAAGGAAATCAATCCTGAATAGTCACTGGAAGGAATAATGCTAAAGCTGAAGCTCCAATGCTTTGGCCACCTGATCTGAAGAGCCGACTCACTGAAAAAGACCCTGATGCTGGGAAAGAGTGAGGGCAGGAGGAGCAGGGGGTGACAGAGGATGGGATGGTTGGAGAGCATCACTGACTCAATGGGTGTGAGTTTGAGCAAAGTCCAGGAGATAGTGGAGGACAGGGAAGCCTGGTGTGCTGCAATCCATGGGGTTGCAAAGAGTCAGACATAACTGAGTGACCAAACAACAACAAATGATTAATGATGTTGAGCATCTTTCCATATGCTTACTTGTCATCTGTATATCTTTTTTCATGATGTGTCTTTTAAAGTCTTCTGCTTCTTCCACCTTTATTTCTATGTTTCTAAATTTTTTTAAAAAATTATTTTTTAAATTTATTTTTGGCTAAGCTGGGTCTTTGTTGCTGCACGTGGGCTTTCTCTAGTTGTGGTGAGTGGGGACTACTCTCTAGTTGTGGTGTGCAGACTTCTCATTGTTGTGGCTTCTCTTGTTGTGGAGCACGGGCTCCAGGGTTTGTGGGCTCTGTAGTTGTATCGCACTGGCTTAGCTGCCCTGAAGCATGTGGAAAAAGTATCTTTCACAGAAAAAATTTTGATGAAGTGCAATTTATCAATGTTTTTCTCTTAAGAATCATGCTTTGAGATCATATCTAAGAAAATTTTGTCTGACCCATATTCTTCTAGAAATTCTACAGTTTCAGCTCTCATATTCAAGTCTAAAATAAAACTTAATTTTTCTTCTGTTCCATTGATTTCTTTGTTCATCCTCCTTTATGTCAATTTCATAGTGTTGAGGTAACTTTAGCTTTATGATATGTCTTAAAATAAGACAGTGTTAGTCCTCCAATCCTGTTCTTTTGCATAGTTGCTTCGTATTTCTGACAACTGTAGAATCAGTTTGTCAGTTAAAGTCCACTACGGGGCATTTTGATTGGAGCTGCATTAAATCTGATGTCTTGGTAATACTGAGACTTCTGATCCATGAAAATGCTATTTCTCTCCATATATTTAGGTTTTCTTTACTTTCTTTACCATTATTTTATATTTTACAATGCACAGGTCTTACATAATCTTTCGTCAGGTTTATCCACAATATTTAAAGTTTTTTTATGGTATTGTAAATTGTTATTATAAATGTTAATCTCTCCTATTTCTGTATTTCAATTTCAGACTACTCATAGCTAATGTTCAACAAGCTCTTCTAAGACTCTTATGACCTGGGAAAAAACACTCAACAATGAGCAACTATCTATGTAATAAAGCAAAAAAGTATCTATTATCAAAGATTGCTATTTTTGGATAAAATGTACAATGTGTCAGGAATATAGTCAATAATAATGTAATATCTTTGTATCAAGACAGATGGTAACTAGATTCACTGTGGTGAGCATTTCACAATGTACAGAAATATTAGACCACTATGCTGTGTACCAGGAACTAACAGTATCGTAGGTCAACTATACTCCAAAAACCAAACAAATTCATGGAAAAAGAGATAAGATTTGTGATTACCAGAGGCAGGGGGTGGGAGAGAGGGAACTGGATGAAGGTGGTCAAAAGGTGTAAACTTCCAGTTATAAAATAAATACTAGAGAGGTAATATACAACATGGTTAATATAATTAATATATATGTTATATATATCAAAGTCATTAAGAGAATAAGTCCTAAGAGTTCTCATCACAAGGAAAAATTATTTTTCCTGTTTCTTTTATTGTGTATCTATAGGAGATGATGGATGTTCATTAAACGTATTGTGATAATCATTTTATGATGTATGTAAGTCAAACCATTATGCTCTATATGTTAAACTTGTACCGGGCTGTATGCCAAATATATCTCAATAAAATTAACAAGAAAAAAATCCCCATTTTAAACTAATTCCTAATCCTGATGACCTCCTGGTAATACTCAGAGAGCCACAGGTCTGCATTAAGATTGCCATCTTGGCCAACAGCAGAGCCTGGTGTCTAAGGTAGGAGAGGAGAATACATTTTAATGAATAGGCATCCTTATTTAATGATTTTTAAGGACTATGCCAAGAGTTCCACCTTCTTTTCCTCACTCTACCTAGAGAAACATCTGAGGTGGGCAAACACTTGTCTGTATACCTGGGCTCTACTTGTAGTACATGTGCAGGAAGCTGGCTTACATTCAGTTTCTCTATGCTTTTGGTTCCAGCGACTTGAAAAATACATTAATACTAACACTTTGAAAGGAGGCAGTTATGTGGAACATGTGAAATAGATACAATGGAAATTGTGGGTGTGATATTTAACTGGGCTGGGACCTCAGGGTTGAGCAACAGGATAAATGCCAGAAAAGCCTTGCTGTCCTAGGAACCACCTGAATTCTTAGAAACTTAAATAAAAAAAACAAAACAAAACATACTTATGTCTATCTTGGGGCTTCCCTGGTGGCTGAGTGGTAAAGAATCCACCTGTCAATGCAGAAGATGTGGATTCCATTCCTGAGTCAGGAAGATCAGTTGGAGAAGGAAACGGCAACCCACTCCAGTATTCTTGCCTGGGAAATCCCATGGACGGAGGAGTCTGGCGGGCTACAATCCACAAGGTCACAAAAGAGTCGGACATGACTCAGTGACTAAACAACAACAGCAGCATGTCTATCTTATGGTATAAAGCTATGAGAGCCATCTAGTTCCTTAATTTCCAAATTCTTTGAAGATACCCATCTGTGTACAACATGTATTTTTTTAAATTATGCTATTTCTAAAAAAAAAAAAGGATATGTGAATGCTCCACCACCAACTAAGTTTCTAATACATTCTCCAGGCCAGAATACTGGATTGGTTAGCCTTTCCTTTCTCCAGGGGATCTTCTCAACCCAGGGATCAAACCCAGGTCTCCCACATTGCAGGCGGGTTCTTTACCAGCTGAGCCACAAGGGAAGTCCAAGAATACTGTAGAGGGTAGCCTAGTCTTCCAGGGGATCTTCCCCACCCAGGAATCGAACCTGGGTCTCCTGCATTGCCGGCAGATTCTTTACCAACTGAGCTATCAGGGAAGCCCACATATACTGGCATAATCAAATCAAATCAATATATTCTAAGAAAAGGCCTACCTGATTAGTGTGTTCCCAATCTGGTGCCGGATTTCATTCCACTCCTCTTTGCTTTTTCGAGGCCAAGAATTCATGTTCATTTCTGGTTCACTAGGTTTGTGGTTCAACTTCATTGCCAGCGTGTCTTTCCTCTTCACTTTGTTGGCCAGAGCACCTTTGCACAAGAGAAAGAAAAACATGTAGAAGCTTCAGGCTCAACCTTACCTGGAGCCAGGTAAGACTCTGAACAAACATTATAAGAATCCCAGCTTTCTAGTTGGTCTCCAATGAGTCACCTAACATAGAGGTGAGGGTAAGGCTGACAATATCTAAAAATCTTTGCAGCAGATGAACTCAGATGGGTTAAATATACCTTTTCCCTTCTACCAGTTCTCTCTCTACATTTTCTTCTTAGTAAGAGTTGCTCGAGGAGGGATCATTTAAGTAGGGGACAGTCTCTGAATTACAACACAGAGGCATTCAAACTAACACACCTCAGAAGGTTCCTACTCCTAAAACTGCTTTCCATTTTCAGGAATCAGGATTCTATTATTTGCAGATGTGTATATATGAACATATATATTTTTTCCTTTGTCCCATGAACATAGTTTATCAGGCTGAAGAGAGTATCACTTTTGTCTTTTCCACAAAGCCCAAACACCAACTGTCCTTTACTCCACATTCTTTAATACCATCAAGATAAACATTTTAAAATCAAAACTAAACACATAAAAACCTAATTGACTCAATCTACTGGGCTCCCTCTCACTGGCTTGTATGACGGGAACAGCAGGGACAAGGGTCTTTGCCAGAGGCTTCCAACAGCAGTCAGCCAGACGACTCGGTGGGAGAGAGTGTCTGCATCCATGCATCTTACACTTGCTAACACCACACACAGCTGTATCTGTAAGAGAGCCTTCTCCTCTCCTTCTCTCCCTTTCTTACTATGATGGCTTTCATCTTCGTCCTCTTCATCTCGGTATTGAATGGGACCTTCTGAATCAGAGTCACTCTCTTTCCCTTCTTCTTCCTCCTGCAGACACTGCGGGAGTTTAGGAACGACTGAGGTAGATGCTACATCTTCATCGAATGCAAATATGTGGCTTTGCTCCTCCTCTTCTTCATCGTCTGGACTAACAAATCAACATAATTACATTTCCCTTTCAGAGACATAAAGAGTAATTGAGTTGCAAGTCAAAGTATTAAATAACTGTGAAAAAGTTCATGAATGAAATAACTTTAGTTCTTTTCCTTATTTTTTACAATGTTGCTAAGAAACTTTTTAGCAGCCATTAATCTGAAGGGCTCTGGGTTCAAATCCCAGAGCTACAACTTATTTACTAGATTTTAAGTGATCTAATTTTTCTGTAAATGGGAATGGTACCTACCTTGTTGGCTTGTTGTGAGAATGAAATAGACAAATTCTAGAATGCACTAGTGTTGGGCACACAGGGGCTTGATGATCTATATATAAGATGCAAGTCTGCTTTGGTCTGATTAAATGAGAAGACTACACAGCATCTAACACAGTACTTGGCTCATGGAAGATACTCAATAAAAATATTGAACCCATTTCTTAAACCAAGGAAGTAAACAGAAGTAAAGATGAAAACTAACTTTTCCCCTTTACATTTTGGAGGCATAAAACTATGACTTAACCTACTTCAAATTCCTAAACTGTATCTTTCCAGGATATGAAATAAATAAGACCAGAAAGTACAAGAAATTATGGCAGAACAAATAAAAAGGCAGATACTGCAACAGCTCTACAACAATTCTTTTAGTAAGATAAATTTCCAGCTTGCCAAGAAATGTTACTCTCCAGTCCCAATTTGTCTGAATTTTAAAAAGACAGACAAAGTAGGAATAAGTACCAATGCTACTCTGAACACACTGAGTGGGGACAGATGAACTAGAGAAAAGATGAGCATTCCAGTCTACGGGGCTGGAATACTGAGCCATCTTTCCGAGCTCCCTTCTTTTTCTTTTTTCCCCTTCTTTTTCTTTAGGTTTCTCTCTGCCTTCTCTACCAAGATCATATGCCAGGCACTAGAGCTTTCAGATTTGTCTAACTGCATTCTCACAAGCTTATGAGGTCAGTATTACTCCTGTTTACAGGTTGGACAACTAAAGAGCAGGCAGGTAAAGTAACATACACTACTGTAAGTTAATGAGTGAGAGGCAGAGCTGGGATGTGAACCCAGAGCTATCTTACTCCAAGGTCAATGTTCTTAAGCACCATGTTACACTGCCTCCTCTATATGACATAAAAATGCACAGTGGTTTTAACTTTGAAGTAGAGACGTTTTATAAGTTCTGTATCATGGAAATTTCTGCCATGGATACAATGTTATAGAAATCAGGAGGGTAAAAGTCCAAATTTAAGAACGTGTCTTATTTGTTGAGTACTCTTCTTAATTTAAGTTTATTCACATTTTCTCTATAAGTACTTTTTTCCAAGAAAGGCTAGCTAGAGTAAAGAGGGAACAAGAAGCAAGCTTGAAAGGCACTCACACTTTTAGCATTTCAATAGTGATGGGAAGTGACCTGGTCCGACCCAGGGTACTGCTGTCCTCAGAAAAGCTGTCACTGTTCTCGAAGAGCAACGAATGAGCTCTATGAGAGCCCTCCAAGGGAGGAGTCATGGGAAGTGGGCTGGTCAGGGCCTGCTGGATTCGGATGTGCAGCGGGACTGGGGGCAGCCTAGGGGGCACCTGGGGCTCCCCGAAGCTGTGGTCCAACATCTTCTTGGGTACTTCCCTTTTCTGACTTTCCTGCTGGACAATCTCCTGGGGTAGGTCTAAGGAAGGTGGAAACTCAATTTCTGGCACAACTTGAAAAGTCTTAGCAGGGAATGGAGGGGACCGAGGGGGTTCTGGAGGTATATGAGTAGGCAGTGGGGAGGAGGGGGAGGGCGTCAGCAGGGGTTCAGAGCCCACAGAGCATGTGCTCTTCTCTCTCTGATCACTTGGTGCTTTTGTGGCGGTGGTGGCAGCAGCAGCAGACTCTGAGGTGGGTACCAAGGCTGATGGAATGCCTCTCTTCGGTGGTAAAGGTGGGGATGGCTTTGATAACAACGTACCACTGTTTATTGCTTGGGACAGTTCAGCTGGAAAAGAGAAAGCAGTACCTCAATTTAAGATGGTTTTGCAGTGCTTTGAGGGGCCAGCCCAGAACCTAGAATTAGAGCTGAGTTCAGTCTTCCTCTTCCATGCTAATTATATCATTTTATGGCTTTGCCATTCTCTACCCCATTGTGAAACAAAAAATTAATATTTAAATATGTAGAAGGTCCAAATAGACATATAGAGGTGTAAGAAAGACCACTACCTTAATACTCTAATGAGAAATTTCTTACTTCTTTAATAATAGACATGACAACTTTTTATGACTTGATCTTGGTGTAGATAAAGTTAATACAAAAAGAAACAACAAAAAAATGTGGCTAATAAGTTCTTTTGTCTAACAACAATCCATATTCTTATACAACAGATCATCTTTATCATCTTACAGAAGGAAAAACTGTGGCCCCAAAAGTTAGGTGACTTGCCCAAGATCATACTACAAACTGGTTAGGACTCACCTAGCTCCCAGGACTCATTCTTATGAGGTTCCAACCTCTGGATTCCCCTGACTTTGTTTTTAACCAGTACCCACACCTCTTCTGTCCTTTACGTCCAATCTGCCATCTCCACTTTTCAGTACACTACGGGCTCCTTGACAGGGCATCCCTTGTCTCTATCAGCATATTCACAGGGTAGGGCACAGTGCCTGGCACACAGTGGTCCTCAACACATGTTTATTAGGTGAGAGGCCCCTCCCCTGTACCATGACAGTAAATATCCTTAAGTGATCCCCCCCAAGCCCACACATCTCAGGTGTCGATGGAGCAAACTCCCTTTTAGAACTCCAAATGGCTTTTAAGAAGTGGATCATCACATCACAGAAGGTCAACCTGGCAAAATAATTAAATAGTAGTTCTCTCTCTCTTTTTTTTAACTTTCTAAACAGTGGTTCTCTTGGTCACCAACCTCCGACCCTTGACTCAAACCCCTCACTTTGGTCCCACCAATTGTTTACAAAGGTTTTAAATGTCTTACCTAGAAAGCAACACCTCAAGTTTCCCTAAAATAAAAAAATGTAATTGCTCTAAATCCCATTCCATTGGCAGCATTCAAAATAAAAGTCTAGCTAATATGATAATGTTTTAATGTCACTCTTCATAAGTAAAATTTTAAAAGGTATTTCTAGAAAAATACTGCATATACTTATAAAAAAGGATTCAAAAAATTGAAATTTTAGGATCAATGAAAGATATATATTCTGGTAGATTGGATTTTTGCTGGCTGGCTAAAAATTGTTGCTGTTCACTTGCTGGAAATGGCTAAAAACAGTGGTTAGCTATTCCATCTACAACAAAATCCAACCCTGACAAGATCAAATCTGAGTATTTTAACAACTGAATTGATAAAGTAAGTTAGCTTTAGTGATTTAAGGGAAACATTTACCTGAAAAGGAAAGGACCTCTGGTACACACACTGTGATAATGGCATTTGGCATGGGAAAGATGCAAAATGTTCACTGGAGGGGTTACAATTCCCTTCATCAGTTATTTATGGAGGTCTTCCTTAGTCCCAATACTCCTAATTAGTCCTTAGTTCTAATTCTATCATGCCTGTTAGTAGAAACAGCAATGTCTAAATATTGGTTTCTAAATGTTTGTGTTTCATGGACCAACATTATTAAAAAGACATTCTCAACCAATCTCAGGTTGTTAATCTTTACTTTTAATTATTTTCAACTAAGGGTTTTTTGGCCATGCTGCATGGCTTTTGGGATCATAGTTCCCCGACCAGGGATTGAATCCAGGTCCCCAGCGGTGGAAGCATGGAGCCTTAATCACTAGACCACAAAGGAATTCCCTCAACTAAGCCTTGATATTCAGTAAACCACTCAACAGCATAACCCGTTCATGAAAGAAAAGGTCTTTTAACACCAAAGAATCAAGAAGGTCCATAATTTCAGAATAAAGGATAATTTTCTTTTTTTTTTTGGCCGTGCCCTGCAGTCTGTGGTATCTCAGTTCCTTGACCGTGAATTGAACCCAGACCATAGCAGTGAAAGCCTGGAATCTTAACCATTAGGCCACCAGGGAACTCCCTAAAGAATAGTTCTTTAAATCTATCTAACTTTAATAAAAACTCTGTGAACTATCCTATTTTTCTCTTTCAGCTGAGGACTGCTCATGGACTGCTCTCAATCCCTTAGTCACAGGGCCTATTGCTTTGGGCTATTCACCTGAGGCCAAGAGCGGCCTCTATAGTTTAGCCCAGGATATAGAACAGAGAGCAGTGGTTCCTGATGTATGGTTTCTATATACAGAGCATCAGTATCATCTGGGAACTCATCAGAAATGTAAATTCTCAGGCACTACCCCAGACTTACTGAATCAGAAACTCTAAGGGCAGAGCCCAGCACTCTGTTTTAACAAGCCCTCCAGGTGACCACAATGAGAACCCCTATATAAACAGTTTGAAAACGCAAATGTACAGACAGAGGCCTACACTCCAGAGTTGAAAGACCTGTATTTGGTTTCTATCTCACTAACTGCAACCTTGAGTCAATCATAACTTCTTCACTTTCTTATTGCCTTAACTATACACTAGATAAAACAGATAAAACTTCAAATGGAGGTTTTGAAAATAAGTATATGAAAGTTCCTTGATCCTCAGAGGTAAGTCAACATGTCACTATCCATCCAAGGTGGTGATAATAATAATAACCTGCATCCTGTTTCTCTCAAGCTACTCCAACCTGTTATACTCGCAATGAATTCTAAGCCTGCTTTTCAAGGTTCTAGTCGCTCCACCTAATTTGGTTAATTAGCCATTTAATGAGCACACTTTTTATTTCTTCATTCAATCATTAACAAAAACTTTAAGCAGTACTAAACCTAAATATCATTTTTCTTGAGAAACTACTTTTTTCTTTTCCTCCCTTTCTTGAAAATTCCTCTAAAATTATATAAGGAAAACCAATCTAAATATAATTCCTGTACATATAAAAAACTTACTAAACCAATAAAAAGTTACTATCTTCCCTGCTTTACTTCTTCTACCACTCATTTTATTAAGAGTAGCACCTTTTACTCTCCCAAGACAAAACATGATTTTATCAGAACAGTTTAAGTAGCTCTGCAGTTCCCCATGAACATACTATGCTAGATACTGAACCACAAGTTACACAGGCACCTCTACAATCACTTTATCTACTGGGTTTATGTTGAAGGAAGGCATGCATTGGCAGTTTAAAGTAGGTTAAAAAAAAAAAAAATCCTTTCACCATGTAGGTCAAACCCACTGTGGTCTGTTCATATGTCTAGTCCCCCAACTATAAACAGCAATTCAGAAACACTGCTTCAGGAAAAAGAAATATTAATCTCCTAAACCTTGAACCTAATTTCAGTGATATCTGATCCCACTCTGTTTCCATTCATAGCCATCTGTCTCATTTTCAAGAATTTTTTCTATACTGAAGGCATTCAAAGGGACAAGCTGTGGAGAACTCTCTCACAGATCAAATCAATATTGTACCAATTATCCAATAAAACAACCATCTAAAACCAAACCAAACCGCAAACAATGGAAAACTAAAGACTTACGTACCAATGACAGGGTTGCTGTTTCTGTGAGTTGGTTTTGGGGGTGGAATAGGGGGCTGCTTGGCAGGGCCTGTGTGAGAAAGGCTCAGGGTGGCAGTGGTGGTAGTGCTGGCAGGAGCAGCGGGCAGAGTCCTGGGCGCTTGGGAAGGGGGGCCCGAGGAATGGACAGTTTTTGCCGGGTTCGTGGCAACCATGGTAGCAGCAGGTGCTGTGGTGATGGCAGTGGTGGAGGCAGACGAGCTGGGTCTTGCCGAGCTGCCAGAGGAAGTGGCATCCTTTGCTTGCCCTTCATTTGCTTCGTGAGAAGAGGACAAGTGTCTTTTAGGGGGAAGTAAAGGCTGTTTGGGTACACTCTCAGGGATGAATTCTGCTTCAGAATGAGGCTGGCTTCCAGTGGAGCCTGTGAAATAGCAGATGGGATTTAAAAGGAAAGAGCGTTACAAGACAGGCTGAAAAAGGTAATAGACCTACCACTTACGGTCAAGTCCATCTATTATTTAATGTACAGGTTGGTTTATAGACAAAGTTGCCCAACCTCATACACTTTAGGTATATAACGCTTTCTCAATCAGTAAGAGAGGCTTGTTATGATAGTGATTTTTCACACAAGAGCCAGGCAACTGGACACAGAGTCCCTTGGGACTTGAAAAAATCCTACACACATCGATCTTTAACAGCTCCTTCCCAGCCGGCTCATACAGTAAAAATCTGCCTGCAATACGGGAGACCTGGGTTTGATCTCTGGGTCAGGAAGATCCTCTGGAGAAGAAAATGGCAACTCATTCCAGTATTCTTACCTGGGAAATCCCATGGAGAGAGGAGCCCGGTGGGCTACAGACCATGGGGTCGCAAAGAGTTTGACATGACTGAGCAACTAACACAACTCAGTTCTTGAGAATCACAAATTTAGGTATTTTGTGAATATAAGAACAAGGGGAGAAATTCTATTTCAAGCAGCAACTAGTTGAAGAACTGCTAGAGGGAAACAGAAGTCCCTCTGGATTTTACTTCTCCCCTGGCTCCTGCAATCCCCTGAGATAAATGAGAATGACTGGTCCATGGCTCTTAAACTAAAAAATTCAGAGTTAATTACCTAGTCGCTTCTTCGGCTCCTCTTCTGGAACAGGCTTCCTAAGACTTGCTATTCTTTCCGACTCCTCCTCTACCTGGACTGGACTAGAAGGTCTGGCGCTCCCTATGAGGGCGGTGTGGCCATTCTTTAACATGGCATGGCTCAGCTTCCCTGGATCCTCACCACCTGCAAGGTCCAAAAGAAAACAAACTGGTGGACTGGCGTTGTCAGGTAGGGAGAAGAGCTGGCAATTTCTAACCTTTCTTATCCCCTTTATCCAACCCTCTTCCTGTTTTAGCTTATTATTGAGATCTAAATTATTTGGATTTATAGTAGCAATGAAAATAAGTAATTCCTTTCCCAATAAACATTTGATTGTCTATTATATGCTTTGTTACATGAATAAGACAGGTTCATTAAACATAGGTAATCATTACACTAAATGTTAAGAGCTATAACGAGTAAAGTGCTATGGTGGGAATGAAGAAACAATTCTCCTGGGGGTGGCAATGGAGTGAGAAAAGCTTCACAGAAAGTGGTAGCTAAACTGGGCCTTACAGGGGGAGCAGGAGCCTACCACTTGATGACGAGATAAGGAAAGCCATGCAGAAAGAAGGACAGCATGTATGAGGCGTGAGACTGTCTGACACATTTGGGAACTGACAACTAGTTTGGCCTGGTAGGAGAACAGACGCCCAGAAGAAAGCGTTAAGAGGAATGAAAACAAGCAAGAGCAGAGAATGGAAAGGTAAGCAAGAGCCAGGCTATGAAGGGTACCAAACACAAGGTAAAGGAGTCTAGACTGAATCCTGTAACTAACAGGAAGCCAAAGAATTCACGGAGAGAGAGAGAGATGATCTGCTCTGTCTTCTAGAAGATTAACTCTGAGAAGGATGCATTAGGCAGTGACTGGAACGGGAAAGCTAATAATGAGCAGAAGGCAGGTGAGAAACAGCAGAGGTGCCTGAGGGCATCAGGAGTGGACAGCAAGGGGGGAACTGACAGATCAAAGGTAAACATAAGACACATGCCGGGTTCCTATGAGCTAAATGGCAGGAGTGACCACCGGGCTGCTGGCTTTGGGATGACCACTCACCACTATCACACTTGTAGGTTAAGAACTTTTCATGGAACAATTAGACAAATGTTCCCAGTTACTGCTGAGGTTACCCAGACTCCTCTGGAGGAGAGAACTGAAAAACTGAGCTTAGAGTCTGGAAACTGTCTCACCTCCTAGTGTCATGGGAACTGGAGCTAGTCACTCTCTTTGTTTTCATAGGGAGATACTCCTTGTCCACTCCTGCACCCCCACCCGGCATCTCCTACTAAGAAATTAGACGGTGTCATTCTTTACACAGTCTCAGTAAGAGGTGGAGCTTGGGTTAAAAGTGGTGAAAAAAAGTCTAAGGCAATGAGCCCTGAACGAAAGTGTACTTCTAAAATGTATTTCTAATGCTCTGACAAGTATTTCTTCTTAAATTTAAAAACAGAGGAGGGGGCAAAATGACAACAGCGATGCAAATGTTGTAAGTTACTACTCATGTTAATACAGCACAGCTTTAACAAAAAACAGGACTTTCTAGAATATAAAGCAGTGAATCATTTCAAAGCCAACAAAGACCCCTACTTTTGAAAAACATGTAGTGAAAGTTTAAGACACATTATTAACTAGTTTCTACTCAGCACATACCAGCAAAAGTGATCAGTCATTTCTTAAGTTATTTAATCAGGACTGTCTAGTTTGATGTAAAATTTCTTATATTTAATGCAAAGGGTTTGTGCTAAATGCTAATGGAGTAGAATAGGAATACTAACAGAATGTGGCCTGAACATCTATGAGTGCTTTGCAACCCCCAACTCAGAAAGTCCATGATATATTTTATAATACAGTCAAGTCAGAACCATAATCAAGCCAAAGCCGTTTCTGAGTATGAAAAGAACTGCAAGGTTCAAATACCGCTTTTACCTAAACTGGAGATCCGTAAGCAGGCCATAAGGCCCATCTCAGTTTCTTCTTACAGAATAAAGCTTAGGTCAGTTCTCTGGTTAGCATACAGGCATCTTGTCCAGTGGTTACAATTCCCTTATCAAGTACACCTTCAAGCTTGCTTCTAGGCTAACTGACTGAATGAAGGTGAAAAACAAGAAGGAAGCAATGTACGGGGCTTGGTGAACGAGCAAGAAAGGTGAGCGGCAGAAGAGGGCATGGGGTAAGGAACAGCTATTATCAAAAAACCAACGGCTAAAGGTGCTGCAAAAGAGGCATTATAATTGTGGTCACCCACCTAAATACCTATAAGATTTTGTGTCCTACTGTAAAAAACAAATAGACTTATGAAAAAACAAAAGTTATATGTGTTCATTACTAACCATGCAAAAAATTTAGAAAAATAGAAAAAATCCTCTATACTCCCATTCCAACATCCAGAAATAACTAATGCTAATAATATTTTAGTATATTTCCTTCAAATTTGTTTTCTCTGCTTAGTTTTTATATAGTTGAGATAATACATAATTTCATTAAAATTTGCAAATAAGCAACACAATCACATGGTTCAAAACCTAGAGTATAATATTCCATCAGTTTGGTTCCTTTCTCCCACCAACCAAAGAATACATTTTTAAAACTTCGCTTTCAGATTTTGTCTTACGCAAAGTAGCTCTAACGAAGAGAAATGAAATGCAACCAGTGTGCTAGAGTCTTACTCTTCTGATAAGCTGCTTCATATAAGTCACACACTGGAGAAATTTCTGACATTATTAAATCAGCAGTGAGTGCTGCAATACCAAAGCATGATCTTCATGACAGACTAACAAGAAAGACTAGGGCAGCAATATGGGCATGGAGATGTATTTGATAAAAAAAGAAAAGAAAATGACATAGTACTATAGCTAGCACAAAGCTGAGGATGTACAAAGAGAAAGAATGTTTGCCCCAAGGATCCTTCGCCAACCACTAAACTGCAATTCCAGAGTTAAAGACCACAGCCAGATAAGGAAGGCACTTTGGAGGGAAGGTTGAAGGAAGTTTTTCTTATTCCCCTCAGAAGAAAATGGACTTTAAAATAGAAAATTAGGAGGTAATTATTGGAAGAAATAAAATCATTTTATGTTTACCCCTTAAGTTGAGATTCTTAAAAAAAAAAAAAAAAATCAATTATCCTCACTTTTTATGTTTTATTTAATATTTTTTCTTCATTAGATGTTTTCATTCCCACAAAAAATATATGCCCACTTATATGCAATAAAGGGGTGGGGAGTGGGAGGTACAAATTGTGGGGTGTAAGATAGGCTCAAGGATGTATTGTACAACAAGGAGAATATAGCTAATATTTTGTAATAACTCTAAATAGAAAGTAACCTTTAAAATTATATTCAAAAGGCTTTCTTTAAATAAATAAAACATAGATGGTATGGCATTGAATTTTATAGAAATATCTTAATTATTATTTAGTATTTTTCATTGTCAAGTTTAACACCAGTAGAGAAAACTGTACAAAATAGAAATGTAAATTTCAAAAACATGTTATAAGGAAAACACCTGAGTGAGCATCATGGACATTAAGAAATATTATAAAAACGTTCCCAGACCTTGGAAACCTCCCTCTCTCCCTAGTAACATACTTCTCCTTCCCCCACAAAGCAATCACTCTTCTAACCCTTATAATCCTTTCTTTGTGTTTTTATTATAGTTTAACCACATTATCATGTATTTCCAAACACTGTTCTTTCTTTATACTTATAGAAATGATACCATATATATTCTTCCATGACTGACTTCAATTGCTCAGTATTACTGATGAAATTCACATTAAAGGAAATAGGTATAGTTAGCATTGTCATATAGTATTTCATTTTATCAATGTATATCCCAAGTTACTTATTATATATTTTACTATTGAGGACATTTGGGTTGTTTCTAGTTTTGCTCCACTGTTTAAACATTGCGGCTATGAGCATATTTATATCTCCTGATACACATGTATACACGTTTTTGTTCCGTATATACCAAAGACTGTACAAAGGTTTACATATTTCCAGCTTTTGTAGATTAGGTTAAACTATTTTTCAATGTGATCATTCCACTTTAACACTTATAACAATAGTTGTATGTAAATTCCACTTATTTCATACCCTCATCAATTTTTGGTTTTGGTCATTTGGTTAATTTTAGATTTTCTAGTTTATGCCTAGAGCTCTTTTATTTTGGTTTTAATTTTTATCTCTTAATTATTAATGAATTACTTAATTCATTACTTAATTACTACCCACCTTTTTCTTTGTTTGTTGGGCATCTGTATGTACTCTTCAGTGAACTCTGTTCAGTGCTTTTGCTCACGTTTCTACTGACTGCCTTTTCTTTTTAGATGAAAATTTTAAAAATATGTATGCTAGACGGTGAAAGCTTTTTAAAGTCCCCTCCCCTCTCAGCAACAGCAATAATAAAGAAAGAAAATTAAAATACCTAGTCAAAACCAAAGACCAAGTGTACAGAGACAGGCATATGTTGTTTGAGTGTATGCATACTCACCCTGCTCAGAGTCTTCCAACAGAACCCCTCTTTTAACCAGCTCTTCTCTCGGTTTTCGCATAGATATTTTTCTCTCTAAAACTAACATTAAATTAGAAAACAATACTTAGAAATGTGGCAGACAAAAGTCAACACCTTAGGTAAAAGAATAAAGTGGTTCAATTTTCTATTCTTAGGAAAGAAAAGAATATAAAACCAAACTTAAAATTTTAAAACTTAATTTCTCTGGCATCCTGTGCTATTGGGAAAGTATCATTTCCAAAAGGAACTACACAAGTTCAGCTTTACTCCCCCCTTTTTCTTGGCCACGTCACGAGGCTTATGGAACCTTAATTCCCTGACCAAGGATTGAACTCTGGCCTTTGGTAGTGAGGGGGAGGAATCCTAACCACTGGACTGCCAGGGAATTCCTTTCTTTTTTTTAGAATTATTTATTTGTCTACGACAGGGCTTAGTTGCTCTGTGGCAAGTGGGATCTTAATTCCCCAACCAGGGATGGAGTCCTCTGCATTCCAAGGTCCCTCCTTCCTTTTTTATGGAAATTTCAATAATGAGATATTTATGGATGAACTTTTTCTGGGAGGAAGTAGCCAGAATAGGAAAAAAGAAGCATCTTAGGCTTCCCTGGTGGTCCAGTGGTTAAGAATCTGTCTGCCAATGCAGGAAACATGGGTTTGATTCCTGGTCTGGGAAGATCCCACATGCCACAAGGCAACTAAGTGCGTGTGCCACCGCTATTGAGACCAGGCTCTGGAGACTGTGCTCCCCAGCAGGAGAAGCCACTGCAATGAGACGCCTGCGCACCGCAACCAGAGAAAGCCCATGTGCGGCAGTGAAGACCCAGTGCAGCCAAAAAAGGCATCTTAGACTTGCTGTAGTTCAGGAGCCCCATTCACCACTCAACTGATAAACATTAATTCCATCAAAATACTTAGTGAGTGACCACTTGGTTTTTTAATTCTAAAAGATTCAATTTCCTATTCAAATAGGGGATTAGAGAAAATTGGGAAGAGAATGAAAAAGTTAGGTACTTCCAATGGGGAACTCTTTGACTCAGAACATATACAAAAATTTTAACATCTCACCTTCTGATGTCTCTTTGAACTTATCACTTTTTTTTTTCCGCCATTTCCAGGGCTTGAAGATCTTGCCAAAGCCTGAGAACTTGCTCTTCCTTTTGGTAGGAGGCGTTATGTCTCCTGCTTCCACACAGTCCATGACCATGCCTAGGTCTGCAGTGGGCTGACCTATTTCTTCTGTTGCATGAGAGGGAAAAGGGAAAAGAACAGCTAATTTATTATTTCAACATAATCTTGAAAACGTCCCTTCCCCTCTCTTCCTGTGGTAGTTGGAAAGGATCAGAGCAATGATGAATAATCATGCAGACAGACTCCTTGACATCACATGGACACCAGACATCAAAATCCATAATAGATAAATTACTAAGGGGAAAAAGAAACAAATGGAGCTGACACATCATTTTAGAACAAAAATTCAATGAGATGATCATAATCAGCTCAAATCTCTTAAAGGCACATGCACACACAAATGTGGATCTCTTCCCAATATGCAGGAGATCTTGCCTCAATGTAGGCTTCTTGGCATGGGGGAAGGTCAGTTAACAACACTATCTCTTGTGTCACTGAAGCAGAGAATTCCACCATCGGGTGAGTGAGTAATTTTCTCTGTTAAAACACTGTCCTCTCCCTGTTCCCCTTTCTCAGGACATAAATAGTCAGGAAGGGGATAACACTTGTGTATGTTATCAGATTATTTTCTCCCTTTGCAAAAAAGACCTTAGGTAATTTGGGAGTACTGGAAGGGACTTGGGGGGTGGGACAGGGGTGTTAGAGATGCTTCAAAACAAAGGAAAAATTTAAAGTAGAGATGAGATTTCAGCTTGCTTACCACAAGATTGCTTTAGGGACAATACTGATTCTAAAGATTTGACAAGAAACATAACTGACATGATAAATGTGCAGGACTGAAATGAAAGGCCATGAGTCCCTCATAATGACCACACATGCAGGGTTTAGTGAGTGAGCTTTAGTGGCAAAGAAAGAAGCAGCCAAGACTGGGCCAAGAATAATAATAATAATAAAAAGCAGGAAGGCAACAACAAAAAAAAAAGCAGGAAAGCAACACAATACAACTTTGCACTCCACCTACTGTCCCAGGGCTCTTTGGAGAAGTCTAGAGGAGAAGAAAAAAAAAGAGTCATGTGGAATAACAATCCTGGAATTAAAGTGAGGCCTTTACTTTGTAGAAATACATCAAGGGTAACATACTATATAGTCACGCATAATAAGTTAACATATTTATTGTAAACAACTTCACATTTGAAGCAAATAATGCATTTGGAGGTGGGCAGAAACAAAGAAGCATAATATAGGCACTAAAAAAACCCTCTTAATAGACATTTTTTCACAAGAGAAAACATACAATCAATAAGCATTAATTTTTTTAAGAAACACATGCCCAGTTCAATCTTTTTTCAGTTGATAGGTGTTGAGTCTAGAGAAGTCTGTTGATAAAGGTCAGATTTACACAATCGTAATTAGAGTGACTGCAGTGATGGCTGCTGATACATTACTTTGCCTAAAATGACAAGGGCAAAACAGGGGCCCGGTTCCTGAAGTGCAAGAGACGAAAATGACACCATTGATGTCTTTACTTGAGGGCATCCTGGGTCTTGACTATTCTAATTCCTTACATGAAATGCAACAGAATATAACACTGGATCATATTCTTTCAAGGTTGGTTGCTCTTGTCCTGGGACTGACGACCAAGAGTAACACTAGTGTGAACACGTGGTACTGCTTTTAAGAGTGAGTGCTTTAACTAAGACAGTATTCTACCAATTATAGAATGTCAGTGAGACCTGAAGACATTGCAGAGCATTCATTATATAATATTTAACATATGTTAATGATAACACTTTCAGGAATGGAGCTAAGTAACATAAGCTGTTCTTTCTCAAATATTAGCCTTCCTTACTGAGGCAGGGATAGACTGAGACTTTAAATCTCTTGCTAACCCACCCAATGACTGAACTTCACTCAGTTCCAAAAGACACACAGGAAAATGCCTGTTTGGTTAAAAGTAACAGAGAAGATAATATAAAAAACCAAAAACCAAGCCAAGACAAACAAAAAACCCTCAAACTAACAATGCGAAAATAAAAATTGTTAGTGCTATGTGATACTTTTACAAAGAAAAATAGCCAAAAAACTTTATAGAAAGGCAGTAACAAAATCACAGAAAGTTGCTGTCTGTGAAGTCTTAAAATGAAAATACATCCAATCTAGCCTGCTTCCACTATCTTTTTGATACCTAATCACCTTTTTGGCAAATGGGGAAAAGTGGAAACTGGTAGATTTTATTTTCTTGGGCTCCAAAATCACTGCAGATGGTGACTGCAATCATGAAATGAAGATGCTTACTCCTTGGAAGAAAGGCTGTGACAAACCTTGACAGCATATTAAAAAGCAGAGACATCACTTTGTGACAAAGGTCAGTATAGTCAAAGCTAAGGTTTTTCCAATAGGCATATATGGGTATGAGGGTTGGACCATAAAGAAGGCTGAGTAACAAAGAATTGATGTTTTTGAACTGTGGTGTTGGAGAACACTCTTCAGAGTCCCTTGGACTGCAAGGAGAGCCAATCAGTCAATCCTGAAGGAAATCAACCCTGAATATTATTGGAAGGACTGATGCTGAAGCTCCAATACTTTGAACACCTGATGCGAAGAGTCAACACATTGGAAAAGACCCTGATGCTGGGAAAGATTGAGGGCAGGAAGAAAAGGAGGTGACAGAGGATGAGATGGTGGGATGGCCATGAGTTTGAGCAAACTCTAGGAGATACAGGAGGACAGGGAAACCTGGCGTGCTGCAGTCCATGGGGTCACAAAGAGTCGGATACAACAACTGAACAAGAATTCACCTTTTAAAGTAGGACTTAGTTTATCCATTTTAGTTCTTCATTATATTGAACAACACATTCATGTATCCCCTTTTTCTTATACATTCAAAGCAACAAAATCATGATATCCTTTCAAACATATTTATGCCTGCTAACATATGAGCTCAAAGTAAGTTCAGTTTATATTAAGTCACAGTGTATCTGGAAAATACCAACAGCTAATGATAAAAAGGAATGCATCTGCCATCCAGTCACTAACACAAAAAGCAAAGACGGCAGTTTTTTTCTTTGATGCTTTATGCAAATATGCTTAATCTTCACATCCATAAAACTTTTAGAAGTGGGTATGCCTCTTGCATCATGCAGTGAGGCTCAGCCACACCCAGTGCTAACCCAGTTACTATTATCCCCAATTCATTCATATTCTCACATTCTCCTTTCCATATTTTCACATTCTCCCTTCTCTCCTCCTCATTTTCATGACAAACAGAACATTATTTTTCGTGACTCCCCAATCTGTTCAAATACTTTGAATCAGTTCAGCTGCCCTTTCAAAACATGGAATCTGCAGGAGGTGGGCCCTAGAAATCTGTTTTCAAAAAATTTCCCGGGTGATTCTTATGATCAGTCAGGATGCTAAATTCAAATCCAGATACTATCTGGAAAGCTTTTGCATGTTAAGAGAGACAGAGGCAGACATTATCTGCACGTAACCTAATTCTTTGTTGAAGAAAAATAAACCAGAAAATCATGGCACCATTCCAGAGTTTCCGACTCAGGTAAATTATTCCTACAGAAGAATTGGGAGGATCTTCCCTGTGTTTCCTAGACTCAGACAGAATTTAAATTATAAATAAATAAAAAGTTTAATTTTTTCCCTAGATTTTAAAGAGAATTAGTCATTTATTAATTTTTTTAGAGACTAGCCACTTATTATTAATGTTTTTTTTTTAATTTTTCTTCTCTAGATTTAAAACATACTATGTTCCATGTGTACTTGGGAATATAGTGTGTTATTCAGTTAGTGAGTGTAGTGGTCTATATATAAGCCAGTTATGTCAGGTTGGTTAATCACGTTATACAAATCATTAATAAATATTCTTTTTGATATGTTGTCAGATTGTTCTATCAGTTACTGAGAGAGGTATGTTGATATTTCTACCTATGAAAGTAGATCTGTCTCTTTACTTACTTCTATTAATTCTAGCTTTATATACTTTAAAACTGTATCTACCTGTTGAATTGACCCTTTTATCATTATGAAATTCTCTACACTGCTTTAATAACATCTTTGTTTTTCTCTCTAGTTTGAAACTATTGTCTTTTAGAATGTTCAGTTCATTTATACCTAATGCTTTTACACACAGCTGGCTGTTATAGGTCTGCCATTTTGCTGTTTATTTTCCATTTGCCTCATTTGCTCTGTGCATCCTTGACTTACAGTCTACATTTAAGGTAGTACTTTCACAACATATAAAACAATGCAAGAACCTTACATTTCAACTCCATTATTTGTGTTGTCATACTTTACTTATACATACATATAACAATAAACCATAGAAAACATTATTGTGGTTTTAACAAATACTATTCTTTTGTATTTCCTGCATACTTGCTTTTTCAGATATTCTTCATTTCTTCCTGCAATTCTCCATTTCCAAGTAGAATAATTTTATTCCATCTTTTTTGAAAGATATTTTCACTGGGTAAAGTAGTTTCAGTTTGGGATTGAGTTTTTAAATTTATTTCAGGACTTTATATATGTCATTTCACTGGTTTTCTCGCCCCCCTCCCCCCTACCATTGGACTGCTTTTTGTTGTACGGTTTATTCTTTGGATACTTTCTATCAAAATATATAAAGGGTACAGATAATAAAGCTAGGTATCTTTTTTTTTCTTTTCATTTCTATCTACCTTTATTTGCAGTATTTCAAACATTAAAATAACTAAAATTTTCACATTAATGGCATTTTTACTGAACTAAATTAGATACTTTGGGGTAAAGTCCTTTTAAATGGCATTTCACTTTCAAAGTTTTGCCTTCTATTTCCCCCCCTTCTTTTCCTAGCGCCTCTTTTCTTCTCAACCCTTGTGTTTGTCGCTTAGTCGTGTTGGACTCTTTGCGACCCCATGAACTGCCACCCTCTGTCCATGGAATTCTCCAGGCAAGAATACTAGAGTGGGTTGCCATTTCCTTCTCCAAAAGCTAGGTATCTTATTAGAGCTCCTTATAAACTAATTTGGGCTTCCCAGGTGGCTCAGTGGTAAAGAATCTGCCTGTTAATGCAGGAGATGCAGGAGACTTTGGTTTGATCCCTGGGTTGGGAATATCCCCTGGAGGAGGAAATGGCAACCCACTCCAGTATTCCTGCTGGAATAATCTCATGGACAGAGGAGGCTGGTGGGCTACAGTCCATGGGGTTACAAGGAATCGGACACAACTGAGAGACTTAGCACATAAACTAATTTGCCACCCACTTATAATGACTTCAAATTTCAACTTTATCAATCATTTGTTCTTTTCTGTTAGAAGTCATTACTTTGGCAGCATTATTTACAATAGCCAGGACATAAAGCAATCTAGATGTCCATCAACAGATGAATGGATAAAGAAAAACAAGAATGGATAAAGAAAAACAAGTATCGTATATTAATGTGTATATATGGAATCTAGAAAAATGGTATTGATGAAACTATCTGCAGGGAAGGAATTAAGATGCACGCGTAGAGAACAGACTTGTGAACACAGAGAAGGAGACGGTGGAACAAACTGAGAAAGTTGCACTGACATAGATATATATGTAAAACAGATAGCGGGGGGGAAGTTGCTATATAACACAGGGAAACCAGCCTGGTGCTCTGTGATGACCTAGAGGGGTGGGATGGTTGGAAGAGAGGGAGGTTCAAGAGGGAGGGGGAAAAAAAATATATATCTATATAAAAAACTGATCTGCATTAGTTTTATGGCAAAAACCAACACAACACTGTAAAGCAAGTTTCCTCAAATTAAAAAATAAATTTTAAAAATGAACTTATTAAAAAAAGGGAAAAAAACAGAAGAGAAAAAAATGAACTTATTATTTTGGATATAGCAATCAATTTTTATGATTTAGATCATTATTGTACACTATTTTTACATTATAGATTATAGATTTCTCTTTCTTATTCACGAATCCTGTATTTGGAGTCTTTCTTCACTGACTGTTGTGCATCTTATTTCTCTACATCTTGTTTCAGGACTTTCCTGGCAGTCCAGTAGTTAAGACTC